ATTGGCATTGCATTAAATATGTAGATTAATTTGGGTAGAATTGACATTTTGATTACATTAATTCTTCCAATCCAGGAACATAGGATATCCCTCCACTTTTTTTTGCATCATTTTCAATTTCTTTTTTTTTTTTTAATCTTTCATAGTTTTTCTTGTGAAGGTCTTCAACTTCTTTGGTTACATTTATTCCTACGTATCTTATACTTTTTGTGGCTACGTTAAATGGAATAACTTTTTTCAGTTCTCTCTCAGTCTGCCTGTTGTTCGTATATAGAAATGCTGTGCATTTCTGGATATTAACTTTGTATCCTGCAAATTTACTGTATTCATGTATTACTTCCAGAAATTTTTTCATGGAAACCATTGAGTCTTTTATGTATACAATCATGTCATCTGCAAATAGAGAGCATTTTACCTCTTCTTTTCCTATTTGAATACCTTTTATTTTTTCCTTTTTTCTGATTGCGTTGGCAAGGACTTCCAGTACTATATTGAAAAGGAGTGGAGAAAGTGGGCATCCTTGTCTTGTACCCATTTTTAGTGGAAAAGTTTTGAGCTTTTCTCCGTTGAGGATGATGTTCGCTATGGGTTTTTCATAGATAGCTTTTATTGTGTTGAGAAATGACCCTTCTATGCCGATTTTACTGAGAGTCTTGATCACGAAGGGCTGTTGTATCTTATCAAATACTTTTTCTGTATCAATTGATATGACTATATGGTTTTTATCTTTCTTCCTGTTAATATGGTGTATTACATTTATGGCTTTGCATATGTTGAACCAACCTTGCATTTCTGGAATAAAGCCTACCTGATCATGATGTATAATCTTTTTTATAAGTTGTTGGATACGATTTGCTAGTATCTTGTTGAGAATCTTTGCGTCTATATTCATCAGAGCTATTGGTGTATAGTTTTTCTTCCTGGTCCTGTCCTTATCTGTTTTAAGGATAAGGGTGATAGAGGCTTCATAGAATGATTAGGAGGACCTTCACCGTTTTGGATCTTTAGAAATAACTTGAGCAGAATGGGGGTTAACTCTTCTTTGAAACTTTTGTAGAATTCAGAGATGAAGCATCAGGGCCAGGGCTTTTCTTTGTTGGGAGGTTATTTATTACTGATTCAATCTCCTGGCTTGTTATGGGCCTATTCAGACTTTCTATATCCTCCTGGCTCAATGTTGGTAGATTATATGTGTCCAGGAATTCGTCCATCTTATCCAGATTGTCTTGTTTCTTGGCATACAGATATTCATACTATCCTCTAATGATGCTTTGTATTTCTACTATGTCTGTTGTTATTTTGCCTGCTTCATTGCAGATGTGATTCACTTGGTTCCTTTCTCTCTTCTTAATAAGTCTCGCTAGTGGTGTATCAATTTTGTTTATCTTTTCAAAGAACCAGCTTTTACTTTCATTTATTTTCTGTATAGTTCATTTATTTTCTATTTAATTGATTTCTGCTCGTATCTTTATTATTTTCTTTCTCCTGGAGATTTTTGGATCTTTTTGCTGTTGTTTATCAATTCTCTGAGGCATGATGTTAGGTGATCCATTTGCCTTCTTTCCATCTTCCTCTTACGTGCACTTAATTGCTATGAACTTCCCTCTCATGACTGCTTTAGCAGTGTCCCAAAGATTATGGAAACTCGTGTACTCATTGCCATTGGCTTCCATGAATGTTTTCATTTCAATATTTAGTTCTTCAGTAGTTGTGGAGTCTTTCAGGAGTAGGTTATTTAGTTTCCATGTATTTGAGTATTTTTGAGGA